CCGTCCGTCCGTCCGTCCGTCCGTCCGTCCGTCCGTCCGTCCGTCCGTCCGTCCGTATGAGTGCGTCGATCTCAGAAGTTATACGAGCTAGAGAGCTGAAATTTGGCATGCATACTCGTGTGTACCATACGCAGTACGAGTTTGCTTTATTTTTTCGATAATTCATCCGATAACTTTTTTATCGAGAATAATCGAAAAATCGGCATTGTTTTTTCAGCCTAATTTGAACATTTTTAGACCTGTAGTCTTCAAATTTTCGTTGTATATAAAGTTAATCGATACAAAGATTTTTTAATTTACAGATTTTGGATACCACGCCCCCTTAGCCCCAAATTTGTAAAAAACGCATTTCAAGTACTAGAGACTTGCGCTTTGGAATGTACACACATATTCATCATATGATTACACTTTGAAAGTTTCATTAAGATCTTATGTCTACAAAAGAAATTATTCAACAAATAAATTCTCATAATATTGCCCACACTGCAGCGCAGCCCAAGCGCAGTCGCTGCTTACTGCGCAGTTAGCAGAGCGCATGCTTATGCGTGCGTGTGGATGCATGTGTATGTATGTGTGCATAAAAATGCAGAATGATTAGAATATCAGCTTAGAGGGTTCAGGGTATCTCCTAGTCGAGCAGTCTCGACTAGAGCCTTCTTACTTGTTTGTTTTTAGTTTCTTTATTTCTCTTTTTGACTTTTGCTTTCTGTCTCATTCATATATTAATGCAGCCTCACTTTGGCAATGTTTTCTTTCAGCCCTGCTGGCGGCCACCTTGCGGACGTACCAGCGTGCCGGATGCGATTCAGAACAGCTGTCACTCAGCTGTCCACGTGGCACAAGCATTTCCATAGAGCTGGCCCAGTACGGACGAGCGGGCGGTAAGTTCGATTGTCACGTACGAATCAGCGAAGTGAATGCTGGACTGTAAGTGGCGACCGGAGTGGTGACGGTGCCGGAGGTGCAGTTGGGTCCGTCCAGCGTCAAGTGAACAGAACAACGGATGGTCGGGCCCTTCGACTGACTAGAGCGACTGCCAATATCGCAATTGATTGATTGTTGCCCAAAGTTTGTCCGTTACACGCGTCGATTGTACGCATTGTATTTTACTTATTTGTGTGCGCACGTGGCCATGTTTTGGCTCTCTGTGTACTTGTCGACGCCCCCTCGAGTGGCACTAGTTGTGGCAGTAGTTGTAGTAGTATGCACGCAAACAAGCAGACAATCACAATGAAAGCAAATGAGAAGCGAGCCGTGCTTCGCATACGCCCATATCGAGTATACGTACGGATGGACGTCCGTGGCGATTTTCAGAGATGCTCGCAGATTGAGTTGCGTTTGCATTGAACGCTATTTCCACTCGGCTCTGACCACATTCCACATGCCACTCGACCTCCGAAGACCACTCTGACCCACTTCACTCCACTTTGGCGCTACCCACTTTGCACCGCTTCGCATCACTTCAGCGTGCTTCGAAAAATCGACGACAACAATGCCAACAATAACAACAACAAATTTGCCCTCTCGTCCACTTGAACAGATTTATCCGACCACAGCTTGTGTCCGCCTGTGTCGCAGGAGGACCTCACCACGACCGGAAGTGCCGGCGATGCTGTCATCCACAGCGGCACAGAAATCGAAGTCAAACCGCCGGAAACGTGTACCGTAAGCCGATTACAGGTAAGCTGAATCAGTATAATTGCAATTCCATCATCGTCGCACTCATCATCGAAAGAAGGCTCAGCCATGTTCAGCACACGGCTGGCACCATACAGCCACACACACACACATTTATATATATATATATATATATATATACATATATACCCATAAACGTCCACTTATTCATATACATATGTATTAAGCTACCTATTACATACTGCAGGGACATCAGGCTGCTTCAACGACTCAGGTTCGCCTCGGCTTACCTTTTTCCTAAATGTATTTTTCCCATTTTCCGCACGATTCCACAGTGTGCATTCAAAGACATTGCCGTATATACAAGCGCGATAAAATAGCTTCCTTTTGGTCAGAACACACACACACGCACATACATCCAATCACACACACTCACACACCTCCAGAGCACATGTGAAAGAAGGCAGTTCAAATAAATCAGTGAAGTAGAACGATGCCATAAAAACAGCAATAATTCATAATGAAAATCGATTCGATTCACTTTGGCCAAGCTGAAGGCATAAATCATATAAATTTTTAGTTACTTACCCAGTCAAAGCTAAACCAACCCAGTATAGTATTTATAACTGCACACATTCACACACACATACGTGCATTTATGTTGGCGAACTCTCAAAATCGTTTAGTCCAATCTTTTTGGGCCATCATTAGACTAATACATATGTGTATGATTTTTCAGAAATTCTTAGCAGTAATATTAATTATCCAAAATATTTCACTATGTACATATGTAGAACGTAATCAGGAAATCAAAAGTCCTTAACTAAAGAGTCATAAATAATGATTTATCGATTGAGTGAAAATTCCAATTTTGAAATGAATCACCATATTGGCTTGCTAGGGCAATATGAGAAAACTCTACCAAATACAGAAACCAGAAAAATTCCATACATTGTTCAACATAATTTAGTTCAGCAAAAGTTGCCACAACATACTTGTGTGTGCATTGTATATGCATGAGAGTGTGTGTATGGATGCATATGTGTGTGTGTGTGTGAGTTGTGTGTGCTTGTACAGTGCAATTTGTCACATTTATGAGGTCGTTAGGTCTTCGCATGGAACAAAGTTGGCAACTTTAGTGGAGCCATTGCTGGGGTTAATTTTTCATTGAACCATATCCTTCAAAAATAGCTTGTGCTACAAAGCTGGCCGCCCGTTGCGTTTCATTGCGCACATCAATTGGAACTAAGACGATGACTTTATGTCTCATGTGTGATGTGTGACATGCGGTCGAGAGTAACCGCAACGGACACACGGCCGGGACATGATACTCACGCTTCATTTCCGGTGGCTTCTTAAAGCGGAACTAAATTGTACCCTAGCCACAATCTCGACATTTGACTCATTGCAGTTAAGCCAGCTAACGACATTTGCCAAGTGCGGTTGCGGCTCACCCGTAGAGCACTAAACGAGCATTGCGTATACGCTCGAGCGAAAATGGTAGCGAGTATAAACATATTATTATGCCTCACAGCTTGCACTCGTACATAAGCTGCCCTTGTCGATACACACACACACACACACACACACACACAGATACACAGACAATTGAATTCCTGAGAGAGTAAAACCTCAAAACACAATTAAGGCTCTTGCACATATCTGTGTGCGGTGTTCGATTTATTGAATACCTAACTAATTAACCATAAATTGAAATGTTTGACATATACTTAACCATCTATTGCCTATGTGCGGTATATTCTGCCCAATAGGATTTTAACTTAACTAACCTCACAATATTTAGCCACTAGCTTTAGTATGAAATTTAACTTGACAGAGAAGCTAATAATTTGAATTTGAATCATATATCATATTTTAAAAGCATAAAAGGAACATTAAAAGATCTACTACTAGTTTACTATTATTATTTAAAATTCTTCTTATATAACTCATGTCAATTGTCATGGCTCTCCATGACGTGCGTAGGGCACAAGTCATCGCCAATGTCTACATTTGATTGCTTTCACATTGGAAATTGTCATAAACTTCAACATTTAAAAACATATAAAACTGTAAAAGTCTTTGACCACATATATTTATTTTCCAACCCCCACCGAGCTGAAGTTTGTGATATTTGAGCTCTTTGTAAACAAGACGGTTTCTTTTGACTTGAATTCTTCGTAAGTTTGTTGATAGATTTTTTGCTTGGCAAAATGTTCAATGCGTTTTCTTTAATTTAACATAGAAAATTCTCAGTCAGCATTTTCTAATATTAAATATCATGAACTCTTACATATGTATTTTACAAAAACGTTTACAAGAGAATACATATTGGCCATGATATCAAACATGTCTGACTCCTCGACACAAATCCTCTTGCCTCTTTACACATTTTATATTCAGAATATATTTTCAAGCTAAGTAGATCAATTTCTTATTTAAAAGTAACAAATAAGCTGCTTTAAAAATCGATATATGATGTCTACCCGCGACCTAATGACATTTAAAGCTGTCTCGGTGACCAAGTATTTGCCTGCCACTCACAATTGACTTTAACACTGCGTTTCTCATTTATTTCTTTGGTTCTCTTATTTGCTCGTGTTAATTAAATGTAAGCCCACAGGAAAAGGTTTTTATTTTTTTATAGTCGATTTTGTGAGAATCATCCATTAAGTAATTGCTGAATTAAATCCATCTCAAAGCAATTTAAAGCGCTTAATCGGATTATAATTATTCACCTATGTAGAGCTCTCACTGGCCGAGCAATTGCTTAATTCAATGTAAACAGATTCTGCAAATTGCGCAACAACACGAAAGCTGCATGCAACATTACAGACATACATACATATGTACATATGTATATGCAACATCTGAATGGTGCTGCCGGTTTTATGCGCCTGTGGAATTGTCAAGGCTTATACAAAATGCATTCATAGCTTAATCTTGTAGGCGGACAGAGATTTACGACCTGCAGCTGAGGTGGCGCCACGCTAGTGCCATCGTCGCATTGCACTGTTGTTGTCTTGGCTGTTTTGTTCGCATTGGCAAGGATGCGGCTGCAGCTGCCATATGCGCCCAATAATCTATCAATAGCACCCTCATCGACCCCCAGCCACAACCAGGACACAGCACACACACACACACACACACACAAACACACCTTCCAGCACGATATCTTACTTCTGTGTGTATCTCTTTTCTTACAGTACGCCCTGCTGCAGACTGTGGTGGATGCCTGCCAAAAGAAGAGGCACTGTAAGTTCGCTGCGAATTCCAAAACGCACACAAGCACCGATCCCTGCTCGGGCATTCGAAAATTCGTCGAGATTGCCTACAAATGCCGTCCATGTAAGTATGCCAGCTCTTTTACCAGGTCAGTCCAGCCCCGTCCATACACTGGCTCTTCATCCCCCTGACAAAAAAAATAAAAGCGAGTATGTGCTACCGAGGCGACCAGGTTGGCGCTTTTGTCCTTGCCGCGTTAACCATACCATGATATATTTTATTTGCGCAGCGGCAAAAATAAATATTTGCCAGATGCAAAAGTGCCAAACATCAATTTAAGTTCTCAGGCAAACAAACAAATTTATTTTTACCAAAAGAAATAAGCCGTCATTTATTGAAGCCATGTGCAGATAACCTTCAAGCGCTGCAAAAAATATATTGCAAAAATCTTCTTAAAAGTTACAGAAGTTTTATGGATTTTTTGTATTTTTTTTTTTTTTTTTTAAATAAATTTTTAGTACATCAATTGGAGCTAAATCAATTTATATTTAAGGCAACGCTTATGTGTGCAATGAAATATCAAATCCCTTTATATAATAATCTATTTATTTGAATTATTTCACTTCTGCAATAGATGGGAAACGAAGTGTTTGTAGCTCTTATTGAAGCCAAATATAAGTGGGCACAAAATGGTTGTAGGATAAGTTATTATGCAGAGAAAGCTACTTATAATAAAAGCCTACAAGCCAGTGAGCAGAATGACCATTAAATAATTCACATTTCAGACTAAAGAGATATTTAAACATTTAATCATGCACATGTTATAAGCATTTAAAGCAACTTTTATACAGAAGTCAATTAAGCCCTGACCAAACAAGTATATACAGACAGTAGAGAAGGGCCCCCTTCACAGGTCACTCGTAACTAGCACCTGCATTTATATTAATAATGATCCAAGTTGAACGGACTGCACAACAGAAGGCACAATCATAATGTACTAAAATCTCTCATCTCACACTTGCACAATGGTGGCAAAACACAGAAAAAAAAAATAAAATAAAAAAATAAAAATAAAAAAATAAAAATAAAAATAAAAAAAAACAACAAAATTAATGAGCACTTCAACTCAACTAGAAGTTCGAGGCGATAAGAGTGGGCGGCAATGAGAATTGGGAAATGGAAAATGTGAACTGGGAACTGGGAACTGGCTGCAAATTCAGCTAGAAGCATAATGAAAAATGCAGCTGCGCTTTTGCGTTGTTTTTTTGCCTCTGCTTTAGCTTTAGCTTTAGCGAACATTAAAAATAGTTGAATAAACTTTTTGCTGAGATATTTGCATAGTTTTGCACTGTGCATTTTTTAGCGTGGCATCGCGATGGGCGAACGCCACCGGCGATTGGGCTAATGACACTCGATTATTTACGATCCACTAAGCAATTCATGTTTAATCGTAATCACTCGACAAACATAAGCCGATAAGCGAGCAGATGAACCACCTAAGTGCTGCTTCTCATTCCGGGGCACTTGACTTTCAGATTCAGATTCCAATTCACCTGGAACAAAGCGGCGTCGAAATGGTGCTGTTGCCAATGGCTGCAGCCATTGGATGAAAGTCGTTAAACGAGTTCTTAATGCCTCGCTCAGACAGTTCAATTCGACGGTATTCAGATTCTAGCTGCCAGTGCACACAAAGCCCTATGCATTCCTTGTAATTCTTTGGTAATTTGCGTCAGCCTTTTATCCATTTCCAGCATTTTTGCAGCTATGCTAGAATACTTTTTACTACACTCGAGACTGGCATTATTCCTTTGCTACGAAATGCGTAACATTGCGGACAAGATACAAAAAGCAATCGCAATAAGTGTTTATATTCTTGACCAGATTCAAGTTGCTGGAGTCGCAGGCATCTGTTTCTTAACTTCAAATATATCCTTTTATTTTGAAGAAGATGGGCTGCATATTTTCACAGGCAGAAAATAGTAAATTGTAATTCCATCATATATGATATATATGCATATGGAAAACGAACTTGAATGTAGCTTGAAAATGTTAATTTGCCTTTGAATCAGCTGTCAATTTTATAAAATATTTATGTGACTATGGATCGGATCAATATCATTCTTGCATATCATACTAGTCTGTAAATTATATTGGATCTTAAGTTACGACATGAGAGGGTATTTACGCTTCGCATTAAAAAAGGGAGTTGTTCAATTCCATTTTTGTTTTTGTGCCGGCTTTTTTTATTTTTTTTTTTTTTTTTTTTTTGACAAGTGACGCAGATGTTATCTTGTTAAAAAGCACACAAACACACCAAAGAAGTGAAGCAAACAGGAGAGAGACAAAAGAGGAGCGCCGCATTCAAATTAGAAAAGGGAAATGCACAGCGGGTTGAAAAAGGGCAACTTGTACTTGGTCCGCATAGCTGAGTACACTGAAGCTAGCTGGCACATGGTGGCCTACAGCGGGGGCTTGGCTGAGGTAATATAATTAAGGAGAGCCGAGTTTTTTTTTCTAAATTGTCTGTTATCTTTTGCTCATTATGGACACCAGCGACAAGTAATAAAACTGCAAAGTACGAGTGGAAAACGTTGAAAAATTACGGCCTGGTTATGTGAGTGGGAGCAAAAGCTACAGCATGCCCCCAGGCTTGAAGCGCATGCCCATACCCATGCTCATGCCCATGCCCATGCCAAAACGAAGCTCGAGGCAAGCAATGCACAGCACGGCAAGCCCAGCTGGCGCATGGGCCATGGGCAGGAAGGCAGCCGGAGAGGCGCGTGCCAGACGGCACATTGTGGTCATAAAAATATGGCAATTTTCAACTTTTCTCACGTCTCTCCATAATAAAACGTGCACTCGCACTCTTAAGAGGAGCAAGGAATCACAGTACCCAATACGAGACCCGTGCACGTATCATGTGGGAGTCAGATCCGCAAGGCCGGGGCAATGCAGCAAATGCCAGAGGCCCAGGCCTGTAAACAGGCTATGCAAATATTTACCAAATTTATTAAAGTTCATCTCGGACCGAGCTTTCACCACAGACATTTCTCTTCCTATGCATCAAATGTACATCTATGCGTATGTATGTATGTACGTAAATATGTATCTACATATATATGTGTGAGCATGTACTTGTGTATGTACATACATTTCATATATTTGTTATGCGAAACATTTTAAGGTGGCTGTCAAAGTGCACAGCAGAAGAAAAAGAGCGCCGCCAGCCCAATTCATAATTGCTTGAGCTTCGTCCTTTTCTGCTTGCTTTGGGCGAAACGAGCAAAAGAAGGAAATATCTTGGAAATCTTAGTCGACTGTACCTCGACAATTGCAAATCTCAACTTGGCTGACTTCCAACAGTTTGCTTTGTGAGACGTTAGTATATACATATGTGCATGTTAGTGTAGTGGTAAATTACTGAGCATGTGTGCCATTGAGAGCACACATACATATACACATGTGTTGTGTCGACTATCCATGCTCGACAAATGCCTTTAGATATTGAGGATACATAGTCAAACAAAGTAATTGGATATTAGACTTTTATTTGATAAATTTCACCATGACATACGAGTAATTACTTTTGCACAATATTGATGCAAAAAAAAAAAAATAAAAAAAATAAATAAAAAAAAATGAAAACTTTGTGGCCGATACAAAGGACTCGAAATAACATAGAATTGATACTAATTAAATTAAATTATATTTTAGGAATAACCCTTCTGAAATTTGAGACGTGATCGATTTTAAATTCATTGTTAAAGTCATCTCTCTCTCTCTATTTGATTATGTATGTGTTTCATCAAGTGTGAAAAATATATTTCATTTATTATCTCATATTTAAATGAAAATAAAGAATACATTGACTTTCGTTTTGTATAAAAAGTGAATACACTTTTTTCGTATTAATATTTCGCGCATACGATTCCTGTCACATTTGTGCAACATTTCCAAGCCAGTGGATGCTTTATGTTTAAATTATCAAAATAACCACATTTGCATCCCTGATTTTATTATAGAAATTATTTTGAATTTAAATTGACAACTTAAGCTCGATGAAACGTGGCGTATACGTAATTAATACAAATGAAATACATATAAACTTTTGTGCTCGCAAAGCAAATATTTAGTTTTCTTTTTCACTTGTTTATTTTCACTGTTATAATGACTGTAAATTGAATATGGCAATTCGAGTTGCCAGCTATCTGAAATTTGTATTAATTAAATAGCATCGAACACAGAAATGTAAGCAATTAGTTGCATATGCATCAACAAATCTGTTAAAATGTCACTGAAGTCTCAAAAAAAGAGTTGCAAATGAAAGTTTGTTTAAAAGTTTTTAATATTTTTGTAAAAATATATATGTAAATTGCTTCCTTATTTACTTACATACATTTATTTAAGTACATATATATAAATTATTCATATATTGTATTTTTGAGAGCGTTTTTCACATGAATGCCACAGCCACAACTCCCCGTCTGCAAATTCCAATGAACGCATCACAATCGTGTTTTTCTGCTGGTGAACATTTTTTTCCGAATTATTTTAATGGCTTTTGCTGTTTTTTTTTTTTTTTTTTTTTTTTTTTGCATTTTCCATCATCCATAAAGACGAATTCCGGAGCAAGTTGGCCTGCGAAAATGACAACATGCCGCTGATGTGCAATCCATACTCACGCATCGCCATCTACAGTGCTTCCTTTGGACACACGGAGCGGGAGACTGTGCAGTGCGGTGGACCGGGGACGCCGCCCGGCACCGTACGGATCAATCGGGAAGAGAATAGCCAGCCCAGTAAGCAGCAGCCGCAAAAGCCATACATGAGTTCATTGATCCAGTTTTTTTATTTACCAGCCTGCCTTGTGTCCTATGCCACCGAGACTGTCATGCAAATCTGTCATGGACGACGACGCTGCTCGGTGGCCGCAGACGCCGGCACCTTTGGACGTCCCTGCAAGGCCGATGTGCGCATGTATCTGAAAGTCGTTTACACATGCAGTAAGTCCTTAAGCCTCACATTTAATTCAACTGTCAGCTAATTCACACTTTTTCGCAGTACCCCGCAAAGTACTGAAGGATCGCTATGAAACAGCTGCGGAGGCGGACGAGCCGCAGCAAACAGACCTGGACATGGACCAGGATGAACTATATGACGAGGATCAGTTCTACAAGGAGTCGGAGGCGATTCCACCGGCACCGAAGCTGCAGGGCGCCAACGTCGGTCGTTCCTTTGACTTTGACACCAACAACGTTGGAGAAGAGGCAACGAGCACACTTCTGCCCCCACTGCTATCGCGCAACGATGGCTCGTTAGAAGGTAAGTGTTTGGGGAGCGCAAGGTCATACAGAGACTCGCAGAGATTTCAGGAATCGGTGCCTGGGGCGAACTATAGGTCCATAATTTGATTTCACTTTGCGTGCTCGTATCACTTTTTAATGGAGTCTGTCGCATCGGTATGTGCCATGCCGTTCAGTTGCTGCAAAGTGCCTCCCCAGCGCATGGCGCATACATATTTTAAGAGCATGCCCATCCGTCTTCATTAGCCAGCTGAGTTACTGGCGTTTGAGCCAAACGCTCGTACGGCTCGCATCCATTCAAGCCGTGCATTATCTATAGTAACATTAAGTAACGTCAAATCATGTTTGCTGACGACGTTGCGCCCGGGATATTCCCGTTTGCCCCTGATGGATGCAAGCCCGCCAGAGCTGTCAGAGCTTTCGCCAAAAAAGTGAAAAAAAAAGTACACAAAATATGTGCTCACCCAATGGCATATTTCGCAGAGCGTCTGCAGGCATCAGTGCGACTGTTGAACCGCATAAAAATGTCATTCAACAAGCAATTGGTAACTGAGTCGGCTACAACCACAGCAGTGGCCAGTGAGCACATCAGCACAACCGCTGAGGGGGCTTCAATTATAGATAATGAGGATAGCACCATTGAGTTGGCGACCGAAGGCTCGGACATCGGTGCCGGGAGCGGGACCGGGACCGGGACCGAGACCGCCAATACAAAATGGAGCTATGAGAAGGGCAACTACTTCTATCGCCGCAAGTGCCAGATGGTGGATGACTGGGGTACAATAGGTTTGAACTGCACCGAAGAGGACATCGTCACTGAACGTGTCGAAGTGGTTGGTTTCTTGGCAAATTGGCTGCACACCTATCTGCACATTCGAAGTGAGTTCGAGATCCTGTCCTCTTATGCTATCCCTAGCATGCCGTTCGTACAGTTAAGGCTTTCATGTGTAACTAATCGAAGTTTTTGTTCGCTTACACACACACATACGCGTCCACAAAGTCACATTCACCGGCACACAAGTTCGCTGACTAAAAGAACAACAACAGCTATGTCACGTCTCGCAGCACTGCAGACGATGTTCGACAAAAAAATATATATATGTATATATATTTATATATATCAACATATATATACATCTTCCCGCTTTACCATTTCCATGTCTCAAAAAGCAACTCGGCTGTCAGCTCAGCGTCTGTCATCAACAGAGCCGAAGAGAGGGCAACAGCGTTTGGACTGTGACAGCGGCTGCGGCTGCAGTTGCGGCAGTGGCTGCGGTAGCCAACACAAAGTTGCATGTGCTGCACGTTGCACCCAGCTCGTTGCTTGCCACATGGTAAAGTTTTTGATTTCGTTTTACTCATAAACAAAGTCGCCCGATTAAAAGTTTAGCTCACTACTTTCCGCCCACGCAAATGCAGACAACGCGTTGACGAGCACACAAAGTCAGTGAAGATCAGCCATGTGGAAAACTCATCATGCTGCTCCGCCAGGCTTACACTAACTATGTACAGGCTACGACGCGCCGTTCGGCTGTTGTTGCTGTACGGAAATTAGGAATTTATATACCAAGCCTCAAAATAAGTTATTTACATTACTTTTTGCTTTTGCTTTTTCTCTTTGCCTTTGCCTTTGCCGCTCACTTTGGCATGCAGAGCACCAGGAACAGTTTTACCTGTATCTAATCATATCGGTGACAGCGGGCGTTCTCCTGTGCCTAACGCTTGTCATCGGCCGACTCACCCTGCAGCGTCGGGGCAGCCGTTTGAAGAGGAGCTCCAGTGTCAGTGGCGTGGCGAAAAACTTTGCAGAAACTCCAATCGATGGCACAGGTGGAAGCGGCGCTGCTGGCGGAGGGGCCGGCAGTAATTTCCAACAGATGGCAACAGGTGAAACCCATCTGGGCGACACTTTCGGTGACGACATCTCCGACATCGATGTCGACGTTGACTTAACAGCTCCGATGCCATTGTCTAGTCTATCATCACGGAACGAGGTGAGTTGCAATTGGAATTGCTTAACAAAGCATGGCATGACCATGATTTTCGAAAATCCTTCTGCAGACTTGGGCATGAAATGGGGTTCAACTCGGGTTTAGCTTAGTCGGGTGCTCTACTGTTTAGACGTGCAATTACAGCTAGCTAAGCATACGGTAATTAGTTAAATCACCTTTCAATAGCTGCTAGGAGCTCTACAAAACTCTATTCTACTCGACTCTTTTCTGCTCCAGCCCCGAGGTAGTGGCCTGGTCATTACCTGTAGTCATTACCTAAGGTAAATAAACATCTCTAAATATGGAAATTTCATTGTTCTGGCTTAAGCCAACAATAGACAACGAGGGCGCATCAAAAGCAACGGGCTTGTTGTGGTTCTGTTGAAAGGAAATGAGAGGAAACGGGCGCCATGGAAGTTCCCTTGCCATTTAACCCATTTTGGGCCAAACAAAAGCGAGGAGTCTTTAAATCGCCTTCTGCCCAAACCCTAAACACCCGACACGCAGCCCCCTTGTCTTTCAACTCCCACCTCCGTTGGGAAAAATGCTAGTAGCCTTGCTCCGAATGCTCGTTGCAACAATTTTTGTACTTTTTGTTGTTTATTTCATGGGATCTGGGCAGTAACAAAACCATTGCCGCCTTATACAACCATAAGTACAATGTATATATATCCCGAATATATATACACACGTATATATGCATGATGGGGAGAGCATTCTGATGGTTTGTCGGACTGAGTTGAAGGGTT